CTTCTTTATTGACCGTGTGTCTAGATGATCTGTCCATTTCTGTAAGTGGAGTGTTAAAGTCCCCTGCAATTACCACATTCTTATCAATAAGGTTGCTTATGTTTATGAGTAATTGTTTTATATATTTGGGGGCTCCCATATTTGGCACATAGACATTTATAACTGTTAGCTCTTCCTGATGGATAGACCCTGTAATTATTATATAATGCCCTTCTTCATCTCTTGTTACAGCCTTTAATTTAAAGTCTAGTTTGTCTGATATAAGTATGGCTACTCCAGCTTTCTTTTGGCTTCCAGTAGCATGATAAATAGTTCTCCATCCCCTCACTCTCAATCTAAAGGTGTCCTCAGGTCTAAAATGAGTCTCTTGTAGACAGAAAATAGATGGGTCTTGTTTCTTTTTTTATCTATTCTGATACCCTATGTCTTTTGGTTGGCACATTCAGTCCATTTACATTCAGTGTTATTATAGAAAGATATGAGTTTAGAGTCATTGTGATGTCCGTAGGTTCATGCTTGTAGCGATGTCTCTGGTACTTTGTCTCACAGGATCCCCCTTAGGATCTCTTGTAGGGCTGGTTTAGTGGTGATGAATTCCTTCAGTTTTTGTTTGTTTGGGAAGACCTTTATCTCTCCTTCTATTGTAAATGACAGACTTGCTGGATAAAGGATTCTCGGCTGCATATTTTTTCTGTTCATCACATTGAAGATCTCGTGCCAATCCTTTCTGGCCTGCCAAGTTTCAAAAGAGAGATCAGTCACGAGTCTTATAGGTCTCCCTTTATATGTTAGGGCACGTTTATCCCTTGCTGCTTTCAGAATTTTCTCTTTATCCTTGTATTTTGCCAGTTTCACTATGATATGTCGTGCAGAAGATCGATTCAAGTTCCATCTGAAGGGAGTTCTCTGTGCCTCTTGGATTTCAATGCCTTTTTCCTTCCCCAGTTCAGGGAAATTCTCAGCTATTATTTCTTCAAGTACACCTTCAGCACCTTTCCCTCTCTCTTCCTCCTCTGGGATACCAATTATGTGTATATTATTTCTTTTTAGTGTATCACTTAGTTCTCTAATTTTCCCCTCATACTCCTGGATTTTTTTTTATCTCTCTTTTTCTCAGCTTCCTCTTTTTCCATAACTTTATCTTCTAGTTCACCTATTCTCTCCTCTGCCTCTTCAATCCGAGCCGTGGACGTTTCCATTTTATTTTGCATCTCGTTTAAAGCGGTTTTCAGCTCCTCCTGACTGTTCATTAGTCCCTTGATCTCTGTAGCAAGAGATTCTCTGCTGTCCTCTATGCTGTTTTCAAGCCCAGCAATTAATTTTATGACTATTATTCTAAATTCACTTTCTGTTATATCATTTAAATCCTTTTTGATCAGTTCATTGGCTGTTGTTATTTCTGGAGATTCTTTTGAGGGGAATTCTCCTGTTTGGTCATTTTGGGTAGTCCCTAGAGTGTTGCAGACCTGTAGGGCACTTCCCCTGTGCTGTGGTGTATAACTGTAGTTGGTGGGCAGGGCTGCAGTCAGTCCTGGTGTCTGCCCCCAGCCCACTGCTGGGGCCATAGTCAGACTGGTGTGTCCCTTCTCTTCCCCTCTCCTAGGGGCGGGATTCACTGTGGGGTGGCGTGGCCCATCTGAGCTACTTGCACACTGCCAGGCATGTGGTGCTGGGAATCTGGCGTATTAGCTGGGGTGGGTAGGCAAGGTGCACGGGGGCAGGAGGGGCAGGGTTAGCTTGCTTCTCCTTAGGTGATCCACTTCAGGAGGGGCCCTGTGGCAGCGGGAGGGAGTCAGACCCACTGGTGGAGGGGGTGGCTCCGCAGAAGGACAGCGTTGGGTGTTTGCGTGGAAGAAGCAAGTTCCCTGGCAGGAACTGGTTCCCAGTGGGATTTTGGCTGGGGGATGGGCGAGGGAGATGGCGCTGGTGAGCACCTTTGTTCCCCAACAAACTGAGCTCTGTCGTCTGGGGGCTCAGCAACTCTCCCTCCCTTTGTCCTCCAGCCTTCCCGCTTTCCGAGCAGAGCTGTTAACTTATGACCTCCCAGATGATAAGTCGCGCTTGCTGTGGGAACACACTCCGTCCGGCCCCTCCGCTTTTGCCAGCCAGACTTGGGGGCTCTGCTTGGCCGGCAGGCTGCCCCTCTGCCCTGGCTCCCTCCCGCCAGTCCGTGGAGCACGCACCGCCTCGCCGCCCTTCCTACCCTCTTCTGTGGGCCTCTCATCTGCGCTTGGCTCTGGAGACTCCCTTCTGCTAGTCTTCTGCTGGTTTTCTGGGTTATTTAGGCAGGTGTAGGTGGAATCTAAGTGATCAGCAGGGCGCTCAGTGAGCCCAGTGTCCTCCTACGCCACCATTTTTCCTTGGTCTCCAATCCTTTATTTTTTAAAAAAATGTTTATTTTTTGAGAAAGAGAGCACAGGGGAGGGGCAAAGAGAGGGAGAGAGAATCCCAAGCAGGATTCATGCAGTCAGTGCATGGCCAGACCCAGGACTCAATCTCACAAACCATGAGCCCATGACCTGAGCCAAAATCCAGAGTCAGATCCTTAATAAATTGAGCCACCCAGGTACCCCACAGGAAACTCCTTTTGAGAGGCATTAATGGCAGCTATATTTTCTGGAGACTCTGCTTTAGTCTGATGAGGGGTATTCAAAGAAGATTTCTTTCTGATCTGAATTTAGTTCAGATCTTTTTACTTTAAAATAGTTGTGAGGTGGAGTGGCTGGGTGGCTGAGTCAGTCAAGTGTATGACATTCGATTTCAGCTCAGGTCATGATTAATGGGTTCAAGCCCCATGTCGAGTTCTGTGCTGACAGCCTACTTGGGATTCTATCTCTCTCTCTCCCCCTCTTTCTCTGCCCTTCCCACACTTGCACTCTCTCTCTCTCTCTCAAAATAAGTAAAAACCTAAAAAGTCTTGGGGCACCTGGGTGGCTCAGTCTGTTAGGTGCCTGACTCTTGATTTTGGCTCAGGTCATAATCCCATGGTTCATGAGTTTGAGCCCTGCAGGCTCCACATTGATAGTTCAGAACCTGTTCGGGATTCTATCTCTCCCTGTCTTTTCCTCCCCATCAAAATAAATAAATACACTTAAAAAAAACAAACAAAAAAACCACAAAAATAATCTTGATACCAACTCTAGAATTCTGAGTGAATCTCCACAAAGTTCAGCAGGATCCATCAGAGAAATCCCACACACAACCCAGGCCCCCACCCCTCATGCAATTGCATGAGGATGAGTACTTAATACTGGGAAGGGGTGGGAAGCTTTGCAGAAGAGAATTAATGACAGAGAGAGAGAGAGAGAGAGAGAGAGAGAGAGAGAACTTTAAATTGGCTAGATTGATGAAATTTGGAGGGCAATGATGGGGGTTCAGAGCTGATAGCCAAGAAATAGTTCTTGAAGACGTCTTTGGTGCAAAAAGGTGATTTTATTAAAGCACAGGGACAGGAAGACCTGCACTGGGGTTGTGAAGAATGGCTAGTTGTTACTATAGGGAAGAGTCCAAAGAAATTTTCATATGCTAAAGACTTACAGATTACTGGAGGCCTAGTTATTGTCAAGCTAAAGTTGTTTAACCTAAAGGAAAGAGAGGGGTTGTTTAAAGCACCAATTCAAATATTCATGTCAGTTAGAAATCCAGAAATATTTTTTGTGGTAATCTGGAATGTATACACAACATTTTCTTTTTATGAGAGCAAAAGCTCCACCTGTGCAACAGCTAAAACATCTAACCCTGTTCTATTTTGTAGAAAATTTTTATGCATTTGAATTATTTTAGTATTTAATAATGTAACGTTATTTTGAGAGTCATTTAAGGTTTTTAACTGTGTTACAGGTGGTATATAGCCATTACATAGACTCTGTTTTGTTTAGTAAACAACCAAGTAATTAAGAAGAGGTACTTTCATAGAAACAAGAAAAATATAGGTTAATGGTTACAGAAAATTACAAACTCAAGGTCTACCAGTGCTGCCAGTAAGATTTTTTAGATATCAGGCTTGAAGCAGCCTCAGATGGTATGGTAACTGGCAGCAGAGATCATATGGTCTTTCTGGTTTGTAACTCAAATGTCTGTGGTGATCCTTTTGAATGCCCCATTGTAAGAAAGAATTGTTGGTATAAATTGGGGAAAGGGGAATGAAAAAGAAAGGTACAGCCATCAAAAGAGAAGTTTGAAGTCTTCCACAAGTTTGTAGGAATAAGTACTTTAGTTTTCTCACTGCTTTACTGTGAAGGGGGTACAGGTTTATTTTAGATATAAGAGCTTATGAAGAGTGCCCCTATAACTTTATTGCAGTGGGAGTATATAATATGACCTAGTAGGGGCCCTTCTATTTTGGAATTAAATCCCCTGCTGTATTAGACTTTCAATCCTTTAAATAAACTAGGCCTCCTGGGTTTATATGGATGGAGTGGGTTTCTAGTAACTGTCAGTTCAGGTTTAGGGAGGATATGGTTTGCATATTTATTTATAGATTTGTGGATTAACCTGGCTTCAAGTGAATAATTTAATAAAACACTATAGTCTTCATCAATTGAAGGGTCTACAGTGAGAAAAGTCTTTTCATGTACAATTGTTGGGGGAGTCCATCCCCATTTTTTAGTTGTTTAAATAATCATATGCCCATGGGGTTCTGTTATCACTACAGAATAATAAGCAAGAAGATTGTTCATACCTGTGCTGTTGTGACAATTTTTCTGAAATTTACCTCAAGTTGTCTAGCTTAGGCAAACATTTAAAGACAATCAGAACTAGAATTTAACATCCATAAAGATGCCTTATTAAAACATAATTTTACTCTCTAGTAACCTTCATTTCCAGAGACAGTCAAACCAAGACTAGTTTATTTGTAAAGCAAGTTCAGTTTTAACAAGCTCGGCCTAATTATTTACATAAGTTTAGCAAGAGTAGTGATTGATCGTATAGATCTTTTAAAATTTGCTTTGCTGGAACTTTTTATAAGGAACCTCTAAACTGAACTTTTAGTAGCCCCTCTAGGCCAGAAGCCAAGCCAAGTACTTGCCATCAGACATGCCTGCAATACCTATAGATTTGGGCAAATTCCTCTTCATGAGATTCCTGAAGTATCCTGAGGTACTTGCACCTTTCAGAAATTGGCATTCTTTACTCATCTGGTAAGGCTGCTGGGAGCTCTATAAGCAAGGTATCAGGCTAGCTTTTCCAAGGAGCTTAATGGCTCCATGTTTCATAAAGTCAACCTTAGTTCCTTAAAATTGTATGGTCATATCTGAGCCTATGCATGCCTCCCAAATACGATATTCCAGTCAAAGCCTTGGTAAAATAAACAGTATTTCCAATGATGTCTTGTTACAAGGTGAACAGAGTCTTATTGAACTTATGCAAATAACTGTAATTGCCATGAAAGAAAGAACACTCACTGAGTTTGTGAATTTCAGAAGGTTCAGGTAAAAAGAAAAGGTAAACAGTTCAGTTTGTTTACAAATGAATACTTTATCACACTTCTGTATGTCATAGATGTCTTAAGAGAAAGTTTCCTTAATCTGGAAAAGCAAATATTTGGAGAATCAGCAATATTTTAAAACAAGGGTCACAAAAACTATAATCTTCCTCAGTTCACTTGGTCCGATGTTCCTAATTCTTGTTCAGTTTGAATGTAGTTTTTTAGTTCTGGAAATTCATACCCACTTTAGTATTATTCTTAAAGATGTCAAATACCTGTATTTGTTCTAAAAGTTTTTTATGAATCTCCTTGAAGATGAAATATGTTTTGTGAGAGAATAAGAACAATTATAAATGACAAAAACTCAGAAATGGACACTGTTACAGATCTGATGAGTTCATTATGATGCAATTGACAAGGTAATCCAGTTATTTCTGTAACACATCTAACACTTTGATAATCAGAAAATCAAGTGATGACTTTATTACCAAAACATTAAAAGTTTAGGAGTTGCATGTATATTTGAGCAGTTATAGCATTTACCCAAGCAATACAGCCCCAAGGTTTACCATTTGTTTGACAATGCTTTTCAGAGTAACTTTACATAAATAAAGCTTAATTGGTCAAAAATACTTCATTTACAATTTAAATCTTGGGAAAGTTTGTTAAAACCTGAGAAAGCTATAAAGCACATCCTAAATAGGATTATAGATCATTACAAATCTTATTTAACCAAGGTGGCAATAAGAGGTTCCAGAGGCAAATATGTTAGGGTTATATAGTTAGCAAAACTTAGCTCCTTTAGTGGATCCTGAGAAACTTAACAGGAACCCATGGGGGAGGGGAAGGGAAAAAAAAAGAGAGAAGTTAGAGTGGGAGAGAGCCAAAGCATAAGAGACTCTTAAAAACTGAGAACAAACTGAGGGCTGATGGGGGGTGGGAGGGAGGGGAGGGTGGGTGATGTGTATTGAAGAGGGCATCTTTTGGGATGAGCACTGGGTGTTGTATGGAAACCAATTTGACAATAAATTTCTAAAACAAAACAAAACAAAAAAAATACTTAGCTCCTTTAACATTGAGAAGTTGTAACTAAGTAATCAAAGACCTGAAAAAGACAAACATAAGCTTTGGTTTTCTTGGCAGACAAAAAGGAAAAAACAAAACAAACAAACAAACAAAAAAACTTTTTTTTACATTTTCTTATCAAAAGCAGGTCAACAGTCCAAGAAAACTTAGTCTTTTGAGCAGAGAGAAAAGCAGAATCCATTTCAACCTTAGTCTGTCCTAACCACACATAAAATTCCTTTCCAAAATTTCCCTTCATGAACCTTCTACACCTCTCCTTTGCCTTCAAATCATGTCCCAAGCCGTATCTCTCCAAACAACCAATCTCATTTAGAACAAAATTACTTTCTTTTACCTTTAACAAAAATACTTTGCATTCCTTTTATCTTTCTTACAAATCTCATATTTTTTTTTTTTACATACAGAGTTGTTTCCCTTATTTACATCAGTCTTAACTTCATTCAGCAGAATTAACTCTTAGAAACCATAGTCTTCAGTGAAAACTAAGTAGTAACCAATTGTAAACTGTTACACCAGAATTCTTTAGATGGCAAATTTATGAACCACTTAAGCACAAAGCATGTTTACCAACAGACCCAAAATAGCCTTATTTGCTCTCCAGTAAATCAAAAACACAAACCTATGTTCAGTAATCAATGCTTTAGTATTTTATCCTTTTTGGAAAGGACCTAGATGTCCAACGAATTCAATCCCATTTATCATGCAAGTGAAACTTCAAAGTTTCATTCTACCAAAGACTTTGAAAACTATCTTGATAATTACCCATGAAAACTTTAAGATAGACAAAATTAACCTTTAAGTCATCTTTTTACTAATAGTTGGAACAGAGATAATATGAGCTTATTTGACCTTTAGCAAACATAGGTAGAATAAGTTTCATATTTAATGCTGATAACTCTAAAGACATGTCTACCTTAATTAAACCAACAAACTTAAATTACTTTGATTGTTATGCCCAGAATTCATGATCGCCAAAGACCGCCAGGGAGCCGAGTCCGATGCAAAAGCAAAAGAGCCTTTATTCGAGCTAGCTCAATCTCAATCCCCTACCTGCACCAACGCAGTGGTGAGATACCAGGGAGAGAGAGCGAGTTTCAAAAGGACAAAGGTTTTATTGGGGCCTAGGGGCAGTTGGTGAGGTAATGGCTATGGCCTTCCCTGGGGAAGGGTCCGAGTCCCGTTAAGCAGGTGGGGGGGGTTACTCAGGGGAGGAGGTGTGGTCAAGGTGAAGGTCACAGAACAAGATGGAGTAGGCTGGCGTAGGCCCGCCCTTTCATTCCCCCCTTGTCATGTAGCTTAGGGACCCAATCATGGGACCGGCTGCATTTATGGTGACAAGGGGAACAGAGTTTGGAGGTTTACACAAAGTTCTGGGAACCAAGTGTCCCTGGGTGGCTCTGGGAGGTCTGATTAAGTATTGTCCCCGAGCTGGTGTCTATGATCTGCCAGGTGATGTTTTGGGGGGCGTGGGGACTCCCAGCAGCATGAGCAATGACAAGCAGAGTTAACAGAGTTACCAATATTAGGTGGGTCGAATGCGCTGTAGCTTGAGCTTGAGCGGGTTGTGTTGGTCCCGACTGATAGCCCATCCCGTGACGACGTCCTTCCGGATCGAGGAGGGGTCTGCTGGGCGAACGTGGGTGTGATGGACCCAGGTCGTGATGCTGTCTACTTTGAGAGCAGTGGGGGTTGTCAACACCACGATGTAGGGTCCCTTCCAGTGTGGCTCGAGAGTCTCTCAGTGGTGCCTCTTGACGTAGACCCAGTCTCCTGGCCTGTACTGATGAGATGTCGGGGTCAGGCCAGCCTCATAGATGGCATGGAGACACGGCCAAATGTCCTCATGCGCCCTCTGGAGCCCTCTCAAGGAAAGAAAAAGTTCTTGATCTTTAAACTCAGCAATAAGTTCAGCTCGAAGGCTGGGAATAACAGGGGTGGCCTGCCAAACATGATCTCGTAGGGAGTAAAACCCAGAGTGTAAGGAGTGTTTCTAACCCGGTAAAGGGTGTACGGTAGGAGAGTCACTCAGTCCCTGCCAGTCTCCATGGTTAATTTGGTAAGGGTCTCTTTTAGGGTTCTATTCATTCTTTCTACCTGTCCTGAGCTCTGGGGCCTATAAGCACAATGTAATTTCCAGTTTGCCCCCACCGCCTTGGCTACTGCCTGTGTTACCTGTGAGATAAAAGCTGGTCCATTGTCTGATCCTACCATGGCAGGAAAACCATACCTAGGTAAGATGTCTTCTAGTAGCTTCTTAGCCACTGTCTGAGCCGTTTCATGCTTGGTTGGGTATGCCTCCACCCAGCCAGAGAAGGTGTCTGTAAATGCTAAAAGATATTTATAACCATACTTTCCTGGTTTGACTTCAGTGAAGTCGACTTTCCATTGGGCTCCTGGTCTGGTGCCTCTGAGCCTGGTTCCTTTTTTATTTGATGTGGCTCTCGCCTTGGTGAGTTGGCAGGTCTTGCAGGCAGATAAAACTTGCTCTATTTTGGTGTCCTGTTGTTGAATCTTGATTCTGGCATGTCTGATTAAGTCTTTTAATGTTCGGGCCCCCATGTGAGTAGACCGATGCATGTGCTCTAATATTGAGACTCCAAGACGGTCTGGCAGCACAAGCTCCTTGTTAGGTGTATACCACCATCCCTTTATCTCCTGAGCCATGGGGAGTTTCTTGATCCGCTGTAACTCCTCCTGGGAGTACTTGGGCTGGTCTGGTAAAACTGGGTCTCCTGGGTCCGGTAGTTGTATGGTCATGGTGGGGACTGGAGTAAGGACTACTGCCTTGGCTGCCTGGTCAGCCTTTCAATTACCTCTAGCTACTGGGTTATCAGCTTTTTGGTGCCCTTGGCAGTGGATAATGGCTAGCTTGGCAGGAAGCCATAAGGCCGTAAGCAGGTTAAGTATCTCCTGCTTATTTTTTATAGTCTGTCCTTCTGCCATCAGTAACCCCCTCTCTTGATAAATTGCCCCATGAATATGAGCTGTGGCAAATGCATAACGGCTGTCTGTGTAGATGTGAAGCCGTTTTCCAGCTCCCAGCATCAGCGCCTTGGTGAGGGCTATGAACTCTGCTCGCTGGGCTGACGTTCCAGAAGGTAGAGCCTCCGCCCATATGGTGTCCGTTTCGGTGACTACCGCTGCACCCGCATACCTGTGTCCGTCTCGCACAAAGCTGCTGCCATCAGTGAAGCAAGTAGCCTCGGCATCGAGGAGGGGCCGGTTGGTCAGGTCCGTCCGCAATCCATGTACTTGTTCCAGGATTCCCGCACAGTCATGTAGTGGAGCACCTAGGTCAGGGTCGGGCAGCAGAGTTGCAGGATTGAGGGCTGCACTGGGGTGGAACCGCACTCCTGGAGGGTTGAGTAGGAGGATCTGGTAATGAGTCATACATGTATTGCTCATCCATCTATCCAGAGGCTGTTTCAGGACCCCTTCAATGGTGTGTGGGGTCGTGATCCAGATCTCCTGTCCTAGGGTCAGTTTGTCTGCATCCTTGACTAGGAGTGCTGTTGCCGCAATAATTCTTAGGCATGGCAGCCAGCCGGCAGCCACTGGGTCTAGTTTCTTAGACAGGTAAGCCACTGGGTGGTTCCAGGGGCCTAAGGCTTGAGTTAGAACCTCTTTTGCTGTTCCCTTATGTTCATCTACAAAGAGGTGGAAGGGCTTCATAATGTCTGGTAGGCCCAGGGCTGGGGCACTTAGGAGGGCCTTTTTTAACTGATTAAAGGCAGTTTCTTCTTTTTCAGCCCATTTAAATGTTTTCCCCTCTTTGGTAGCTTCATATAGGGGCCTGGCGATCTCAGCAAAACCTGGAATCCAGAGGCGGCAGTAGCCGGATGATCCTAGGAATTCCCTCACTTCTCTTCGGGAGGTGGGAGTAGGGATCTTTAGGACAGTTTCTTTTCTGGCATCTGATAACTGCCGCTGTCCACCCTCCAAGATATATCCCAGGCAACTTACCCTCTCCCTGGATATCTGAGCCTTCTTCGCGGATGCCCGGTACCCAAAGGCCCCCAGGGTAGCCAGCAGGTCCTGGGTCCCTCGCTCACAGTCTTTGGCCATGTCGGCAGCAATCAGAATGTCATCTATGTACTGTAGAAGGGTGAGGCCAGGGTGCTCCCTTCTGTACTCACCCAGGTCCTCGTGTAGTGCCTCATTGAAGATGGTGGGTGAATTTTTGAATCTCTGAGGTAGCTGTGTCCAGGTGAGTTGCCCACTGTAGCCCTCCTCCAGATCATGCCACTCGAAGGCGAACAAGGGTTGGCTCTGGGGTGCCAGCGGCAGACTGAAGAAGGCATCCTTTAAATCTAGTACAGTATACCAGACCCTGGAGGGCGCCAAGGAGCTCAAGAGAGTATATGGGTTGGGAACAGTTGGGTGTATGTCCGTGACCCTCTTATTTACTTCCCTGAGGTCTTGTACCTGTCGGTAGTCATTTTTGTGAGGCTTTTTGACTGGCAGTAGGGGGGTGTTCCAGGCAGACTGGCAAGGAACTAGTACCCCTAGGGTTCATAGTCTCCGGATGTGTGGCTGGATCCCCTTCCGGGCCTCCTGAGACATGGGGTATTGTTTGATCCTTACCGGACTCTCTCCTGGCTTGAGCTCTACCAGGACTGGGGTCCTGTGAGTGGCTAGTCCCATCCCCCCTGTCTCTGCCCAAACCAAGGGGAATTCTTGTAACCATCTGTCTATATTATCCTCTCTCGGGAGCGCCTCCTGGTGGAGGAGGTATTCATCCTCCAGTTTCATGGTCAGGACCTGGACAGGGTGGCCCTTGCCATCGGTGATCTGAGGCCCCCCTTGTCTGAAAGTTATCTGAGCTCCAATCTTGGTCAGTAAGTCCCGTCCTAACAGCAGGTAAGGGCATTCTGGTATTACCATAAAGGAGTGGGATACCCGGCCCATTCCCAAATCTACTGTTCTTCGGGTAGTCCATGAATACTGGCTCATACCAGTTGCTCCTTGTACCCAGGACTTCTTGCTGGCTAGTTTTCCTTGTAGGGTGCAGAGGACCGAATGTTGTGCTCCGGTGTCGACAAGGAAGTCAACAGGGGTCCCCTCCACTTTAAGAGTTACCCTGGGTTCGGGGAGAGGGTCCAAACCCCGACTTCCCTAATCACTTAGTTCATCTAGCTCTAGGACTTTTACTTGATCAGTCTTGCTTCCCTTCCCACCGGCCCTTTTTGGACTATCTCGGGTCCAATGCCCTATCTCCTTGCAGTATGCACACTGATCCTTCTGCAGCCTCTGCTTTCCCCCTTGGTGGTTCCTTTACCTTTTCTTGCATCATCTGCCAGCTGCTGGAGACGGCAGTCTCGTTCCTTGGGGGAGTCAGCAGTGGTAGCTAGTAGTATTCTGGCCAGGTCTCAAGTCTACTTACTGCTGGCAGCCGCCATGGCACGAGCTTGCTTGTCCTCAGGAGGCTCCCGGTTATTATATACCTTTTCAGCTACCACCAGTAAGTCCTGCAGACTTTTTTCTCCTAGTCTATCTATTTTCTGTAATTTTCTCCTAATGTCTATGGCCGATTGGTTTACAAAGGCCATGATAACAGCTGCCTTGCTTTCCGGAGCCTCTGGATCCATGGGGGTATAGGTACGGAATGCCTCCATGATCTGTTCTAAAAAGGCAGCCGGAGATTCATCTTTTCCCTGTTGTACAGTTCCTACCTTGGCCAAATTGGTTGGCTTTCTAGCAGCCATTTGGAGACCCCTCATTAGAGTCTGGCGGTAGACCCGGAGCCTCTCCTTACCTTCTGCCATGTTGAAATCCCACTGGGGCCGAGTTAAGGGGAAGGAGGCATCTATCTGAGCCTGGTTGGTGGTGGGATTTCTTCTGCACCCGGAACTGGTTTTCGGGCCCCACTGAGGATTCTTTCTCTTTCTTCAGTCGTGAACAGGACCTGCAAAAGCTGCTGGCAATTGTCCCACGTGGGCTGATGGGTAAAAAGAACAGAGTCTAATAAATCAATAAGCCCTGCCGGTTTCTTGGAAAACTTAGGATGCTGAGCTTTCCAATTGTAGAGGTCACTAGTGGCGAAAGGCCTATAGTGATGGGGCTGATTCCCCTCCGCGTCTGGGGGTCCAGTGGCTCGCAGGGGCAGAATAGTGGAGTCAGCGGTGGAGGCGGATTGCTCCCTCTGAGCCCTTTGTCTGGTAAAGGGCGGGCTTCCCACTGGAGTATTTCAGCCTCCTGCTCTCAGAACAGCGTCTGCCTTCCCTGGAGGGGGAGGATGGTGTTCTTCTGGCATCCTAGAGGGGTTATACAGGGGAGGAAAAATTAATTCTTCTTCAGTACCCCCTGGTAAGACAGGGTAGAAGGGTGCTGAAGGCTGGATAAGACTTTTCTTCTTCTTTGTCCCCTGCAAAGCAAGAATGGGTTTTGGCTCTGGAGGGAGTGGGGCTAGGAAGGGCTTAAGCCAAGAGGGTGGGTCTTCTACAAGGTCCTGCCAAGTGATAATGTAGGGAGCTGATCAAGATGGCCTGTCTTAGGCCGAGAGATGATACTCCTGACTCGGTGGATGGTAGGGAGGTCGAAGGTCCCCTCTGGTGGCCATCCCACATTGAAAGTTGGCCACTCACTAGAACAAAAAAACTGCCACCGACCCTTTCAGACTTCCACACTGAGGTTGTTAGCTCTTCCCATCACATCCTTAAAGTGATCAATCATAATACTTAGAGGAGTAGTCTGAGTCTGTCCCATAACGTCCGTCCAGTAAGTCCACAGAACAAAACAGAGAAACACAAAAACAGACAAACAGAGGGCCCCTAGAAAGTCTTACAACTCCATGGAAGCAAAACTGAAAGCTAGCTTAGACCTTTGAGGGGATTCCATGTCCCTCCAAAACTGATGAGGGGATTCCACGTCCCTCCAAAGACGACGGCCTCATGCCGACCAGCGCGAGCGACCCGCCTCGTCTCAGAACTTTGAGGGGATTCCACATCCCTCCAAAACAGATGAGGGTATTCCACGTCCCTCCAGAAGGGAGGATCGCAACGTCTTCCAAAACTCTCGGCCCTTGGTCCTCCAGTGCGTCCACTTAGACTGCTTTGGGCACTACCAGAATTCCAGAAATGAGCTCACACAGAAAAGACAGAACAAACAGACAGACACTAACCATGGCCAGTCAGGCTCTCCAGGTCGGGGGGTCCCTCGGGGGTCTTGGGGATCCCGGGTCGAGCCCCCAAATGTAATGCCCAGAATTCGTGATCCCCAAAGACCGCCAGGGAGCCGAGTCCAATGCAAAAGCAAAAGAGCCTTTATTTGAGCTAGCTCGAGCTCAATCCCCTACCTGCACCAACGCAGCGGTGAGATACCAGGGAGAGAGAGCGAGTTTCAAAAGGACAAACGTTTTATTGGGGCCTAGGGGCAGTTGGTGAGGTAATGGCTATGGCCTCAGCTGATTGGCTGGGGAAGGGTGGGAGTCCTGTTAGGCAGGTGAGGGGGGGGTTACTCAGGGGAGGAGGTGTGGTCAAGGTGAAGGACACAGAACAAGATGGAGAGTCAGCCGGTGTAGGCCTGCCCTTTCATGATCACTGAATATATTTCACCTGTGTCTACTGAAAAGACAATCTGTTTCCCATTGTCAGGTTTTACCTAAGACATCAATGGGGGGATCTGAAGTGGGCAGTCCAGGTGGGTGCTCTTCACTCCTAGGCATTGAGGGTGGGAGGAGCAAATGGTGCCTGAGGCACTGAGGATGGTATAGGAACCAGTTATGTAGGCCATACCCAAGGTGGTGCAGAAACAGAAAGAAGGGGAGAGAAAGGCAAAAGAGGTGAGATGCCAGCAGAAGGAATACAAAGAGAATCCCCAGTTCTAAACCTTGTCTTAGACAGGTTCTAAACCTTATCTAGGGAACAGGAACAGACATCATGTCTCCCCCCCCCTCCCCACCAACTAGTGGAATTAGGCAGTCCATGTCAGGCAAGAAAAGATAGGGAACTGCCCCCCAAAAAGTGGAGTTTCAGCAGCTGCTTGGAAATATTCCTTACAGTACCCATCCTGAGGTAGACTAACCACAATTGGTTCCAATTATCAGGGCCATTAACATGGGAGATGAATGAAGGAGAAGACCTCACATCTATTAGGGGAATGAACAAAGAGAAAAGATCATCATCCCCTTTGTTAGGGATGGCCTATGTTTCTTCCGGTGCCTGAGTTCTGTCAGTGATGTGGGAACAAAGACAGAAGGAAATGGCAGATAAAATTAAATTTCCTTAAATTTACTCTGCTTGAGGAAGGCAGAGTAAAACTTTTCTCTAGGAACTCCCTACTGTCTTAATGTCAATGCTTTGCTAGAGGGAAAAACAACCTAAGCTTGACAATTGCTATTCCTCCAATTAGTCTTCTTTAGCATATGAAAATCTCTTTGGAACCTTCCCCTTGACTTTACCTCCCCCCAACTCCCAAGTATATAATCAGTCTCTCCTCAGGATCCCAGGGTAGTTCTTCCTTCCCATGGGTCCTGTCCCCACACTTCAATAAAATCACCTTTTTTTTTTTTTTTGCATCAAAAATGTCTCAAGAATTCTTTCTTGGCCATCAGCTGCACACCCACCATCACCCCAAAACCTCATCATCAGGAGGTTATTTAAATAATTATCATTCAATATATTAGGAGGGAGTTTACAGACTTGATTACTGACAAAACATGTTCTGCAAGAGGTCCTTGGGTCCAGGGAGAGCCATGAAGGCCTGGACCTAGGGTACCTCTGTCCATTTGCCCTGTTTACTAAGACCATGCAGTATTACAAGGAGATCAGTCCTTTTCTACATTTTGTAATCTAAATTATTTCCAGTGGGTTAAAAAAGCATCCCAAGGGAGAGTCCTTGGAGACTGAAGAGAAGCTCCCATGTTCCTCCTAGAGAGAAAGAGAAGGTCCATTACCATGAGAATCCACCCTCCCTCTCTCTGCCACCCCCCCCAACTCCCGGTTGGCATCCCACGCACAGGATATGTCAGAGGTTCCTGGTATCAAAACAACCTGAGGCATCCCTCTAATGAAGTCACTATGATCACTAACCAGCCTTTAAGGGCCCCTGAGGAGGGATGATAGCATCCCCCCTGCTTTCCCATTGCGTTCTAAACTACAGATTGGTGCCTGAGTATGGTCCAAGTTTGACTTGCTGAGAAGGCCATGAGGAAACCACCGTTTTTAAACCATGGAAAGTACTGGAAAAGTTTTATAAGGGGGAATTACCAAATTTTGTAATTTTAGTTAGTAGAGGACATTGATAGAAATCATCACAGATAGAAATCCATCATGATCTAAAGTGACATTCCAGCACATATAGTCTTTACAGCCAGCTTCCTAGGAAACTGTTCCTTGTTGGGTTTTAATTCAATCAGGTACTTGTTTCAGCCAGCTCCCAGGAGAGTGGCCAGATCAGGGATATGCCGGGAATCACATTAGACCAATGAGGAAGAAATCTCACATGGGAGTCTTAAGATTGGTAGCTGTCCTGGTAACTTAGGTTGCTGTCCCGTGCCCAAGACAGACAACTTTGCATACGGACAGGAATAAAGAGAGGGCATCAAGTTTCTGGGCCTCATTAAACATTCTGGCCAGGGTACTAACTTCCAGCCTAAAGGCAGGCTTTCTTTTCCCCATAGAGTAGCCACAGGCCAAAGGATTGCCTGAGCAATTGACTTGAACGTGTTCAAATAAGACCATACTTCTTGAAAAGCCTCTGAAATGAGAGTAAAAGAGGAAAAGAGAAAGTACTCACCAAGTTTGCATTGGTTCAAAGTCCAGATGAAAAGACTCAAAGCCTCACAAAAGGACACCAAATAATAAAGTTTTGGGTGATTGTGGGGGTTCAAACCTGATGGCCAAGAAAGAATTCTTGAAGATGTCTTTGGTGCAAAAAGGTGATTTTATGAAAGCATGGGGACAGGACTTGTGGGCAGAAAGAGCTGCACTGGGGTTGTGAAGAATGGCTGGTTACATACTATGGACTTGGGGGAGGTTAAGTCCAAAGGGAAGTTTCCAAAGAGACTTTTATATGCTAAAGATTCATAGATTACTGGAGGCCTAGATATTGTCAAATTGAGGTTGTTTTTTCCTCTAGCAAAATATTAACATTAAGATAGTAGGGAGGGAGTTCCTGGACTTTAGGCTATTGATGGGATTGTCTTTTTCTTGTAAACTGGCAGAGACTTTTACTGGTTTAACCATTTTTTTGTCCTTTCCTGTTTTGGGGCAGCAGGGAGTGTCCAAGGAATATCATATATATCCCACCTGGGGTGCGGGTGTATGTTCTAGCTTGTACTTTGCACTCAGCCTGTCTTATGTGGGTAATCATCAAGATTACCACTAACTGGAAAATTAACATTTGTGTTTCTTCAGTCATTGTAAAATGATAGCTTATAATGTAAAATGGTAGCTTCAGAACAAACTAAGCAACTATGGAAAATAAATGTGTAGCCAGAAAGAGTTAGGAGTCCCCAGAAAAAGAAAGATAGACATAGATTTTGTGACACAGGAGAAGTCATTTTAGACTCCCAGCTATTTTCCACAATTTATGTTGTACTGGCACTTTTTGCCTGAGCACACTTCTTGTAGAACTTCCTAGGAGGTGTTAGAACAAAGAAATGCAAAATCCTCAGTAGTTAATGATTTTAAGTGAATAAAGGGAATGCAAAAACTAGTTTCTACCTGGCTAGGAAAATAAATCAGTGGCAAAATTCCCAATGCTGTTTTAAGAGTAAAGATTGACCTAACATATGTTCTTGAGTTGTTTTTATAGGATTTAAACCATACATTATAGGAGTGATGGGGTTAAAACTGTCATAAGCAAGATTACCATTGACCAACACCCCCACCCTTCTTCACAAAAATATTAACTTCAACCTTTATAGGCAAGCAACAGGAAGAGCTGCAGTGTCCTACACCAGTTTGAGCTGGACCACTGACTTACACCTGCGCAAATGGACAATGGAGGGTCTTGACAACT